TTCTCTTCCTCAAAGCGTGGCATTGTCAAGAAGAGCGTGACGAGTGGTTCAGAACTGCACCTTAGATGTGAGGGTTGGTTCTAGTTCAAGCGTAGATTATATTCTTTTTATTAAATGTTAAACCCCAGCCAGGATTTGGTGCAACCAGACAAAAATCGAAGTCGAAAAACACATGGCTGGAAACATTCGACATAGAAACAGTGTCGGTTGGCGTGAGTTCCATTCTGTCAAGGATCTCCTACTCGGCAACATCATGAAAAAGCAGCACTCACCTGTTCAATTCCACCGCCCAACCGGCAGTGTTTTATGCCTGTAAGACGTGGTCACACACTAAAGCCCAAAAAGTGCCAGCTATCTGTCACTGTGAGAGCCATGGAAAGAAGAATGTCAAAAAACTGAAAGCAAAAAGGAGAAGCTACTGTGGGCAAGACATGTTTCTTGGGAGATGGTTAGCGAGGATCACTGACTGGTACCCTCAGGGGCGGAGTAGACCACCTGGCCACGATGATGAGAACATTATTCAGGAACCGGGAAGGTCAAAGCCGTGAGAAATGGCGACGGATGAGTTGCTACCAGGACGAATCATTTGTCGATTACCGGCCAGTTTGTGATTTATTCCAAACAATCGTTTCAAAGGAAATTTACTAGGATGTTTTTAAAAAAGCGTGTTGGCATTCCCAATAACTTATTATAAATTGCAGCAGCACCGATCAAATATTCGGTGGAAAGAAGTATCAACTGTCTGTCAGGTGACGGGTGTTGGAGTGTCGTCAGGTGATGACCGCTCACGTTCATACATGCACCCATGGATCGCCTTCGTTCCGATGTTCACGTCGGCTTGAAAATAGCCATTACGCTATCGATGACGTCGCAATTTAAAGGAGCAGTAGTGAATATAGACCCAACTAATGCTCTGGTGCCAAACAACCGATGCTTGATCACCTTACAACAGCCCAGATCTTCAATGACGAATCCCAGATGACTGTATCTTTCGTCAGTGTCGAACAACGATGAATTCGTAAACGGACCCAAATACTAAACCGATAAGCGAATAAAATATAATTAGCAAAAATGACGTTAAAATAAAACTCAAAACATTGAGCAAAAACCATTTTCTTCAGAAATAAAAAAATAACACAGAAATAAAAAGAAACGCAAATTATACCGATGTTAACATCCGAATCGTATGCTACATTAAAACTACCATAATTTTCAATAGGAGCACGGTATTAATCTTTCAAAATTCCCTGTCTGTGCATTATAAATAAAAAAATTTTATATATATATGGAAGAAATTTTGATTTCATATGATAACAACTAGATATTCACCTCGAAACAGCTAATGAAGAACAAAAGACAATGTGGATCTAAGTCCTTTGCAATCTTCGCTGATTTTACCCAAATCTTGACTGAGTAGGCAGGGATCCGTTAGCGCATTCGAATAAGCGTTCATACAAACATAATTAAGAATTAATATGCAGATCTTTCGTCAAGTGCAGTGCTGGCAGGTTCGACAATTTCTTTCGTAAAAGGGAATGGAACATCTTCCACTAATGTGAAAAATAAA